ATTATACAGAAGCAATTATTTTCCTAAAAGCTTATAATTTAAACAGGAGAAGGAGAGAGTGTGAAAAATACATATAACATGTAAAGCAAAGACTTGTACCTGTATAATTAATGCCACGTATATTTCACTTTTTGCTTTCTTTGCTTTGTTAGTAACCTTCAGTTGTTGCTTTCCATTTTACTCCTTTTATGCATTCTTGACTGATATGGGAAAAGGGGCAAAACAAGAAGATGCCTAGAAAGCAAAGTAAAGGAAAAAGAAAGAAAACAAACCAAAGGAAAAACTGATCTTTGGAAGAGGGGAAGCCAAGAGGTCTGAGTATAGGGTATATAACCACTGATCAAGAAAAGATGGTTTGTATTACAGATAGTAGAAAATATGATCCTGCTGTGAATGTCCTGGTGTAAACTGGTTTGGTAATTGTTCGGCAAGGAAGATTGCTGAGGAGTCGTCTGAAAACACCTTACATTCGTGTTACAAGCAATTAATTTCTGCTTCTAAGCAACTGTTCCTGCTCCTGCCCAGAATATTTTGGAAGGGCTAGTCAGCAGCTTCCATCTTCCCGCCAGCAAAGCCATGTAGGATTCCAGTACTAAGAAGTACTTTGTCTAGGGACAAAGATACTATCTCTGTCAGTGCAGAGCCAAAGTGAGCAGCTTGGGGCACTGGTTTTCACAAGGCTTTGTGCTTGTTCAGGAGGAGGAAGGTAGGTAGCTCAGGACATGTTTATGTTACAGCACTTACATGGAGTTGGGTACAAATCTGAAGGAGCCAAAAAAAGGTACTCAAAAGCATACTCTTATTATATATGGCAGTGCGGTGTCAGAAGAGTGGAAGAATACAGATTGCAAGGGGGAAAAAAGCCAAGCATAAAGCAAAAGAAATATTGTTGGTAGGTGCTGTAGCATTTTAAATGAATCAGAGCTGTTCTGCCGCCGCTGGTAGCTGTCCCCCAGCTGTTCACACTTCCAGGTTGGCTGTTACTTCATTTTGGTAGACACAGAATGATGAGCTGTAGCAAAGAAGAAATGGGCTGCTAATGGCAGGGAGAGGTAGAGACAATGTATCTGGCTTTAATACTATTGATAATTTAGTTCATGGGATGGAGTGTCTCCTCTAAATGGCACTTTTCAGTTTCTCCAGCCTATTCTAAGTGAGATATATGTGCCTTGTGGTCAGAGATGAATTGTGGAGATAGGACCTATGAATCAATCTTTGCTGTGTGGTCTCTTTTTTCCCTCTTTTTTTTTTTTCTTTCTTTTTTAACATTTAAGCCAAGAGTTGATTAGATGCCTGGCAATGATTACTATCCATTGGCACCTCCCACTGGGAGCACACTCCAAGTACCAGCCTTGAGCTCTTTCAAGCAGGGGAGGTTAAGCAGGCTGCTTACTGAGCAAAAGGAATTTCTCTTCCCAGGAGAGCTGGAGTGATGTTTCCCTGGCTAAGAATGCTATAATTCCTTTACAAGTGACAAGCAGGCTGCTACCATCTGCTGGCGAATGGCTGCAGGATGGTGGAGTTTGGGTGAAAATTTGCTGGTGGACCAAGAGAACAATTAGTCGTCATTATGCTGAATTTACACATTTCCTTGTAAGAACTTCTGTGATTTTATTTTGGTGTTAGAATGTTTCCTAGTTGTAGTGTACCTGTTTTTTCTTTTGAAGCATAAATACATGAGATATGTAGCTAACCAAAGCTACAGAAAGTACCAGCAGGAACGAGGCATCTTTTTACCTTTTAAGGCACAGCAGCAATGTCTTGAAAAAGAAGACTGAGACCATCCAGAAATTTTTTAAGCACTTTTTTTTTTGTCTTCATGGGAACACCTGGGTGTGTTTGGAAACCATGTGGCACTACATGATGATAGTCTCTTTCAAAGATAAAGTGATAGACTCTGAAGTTGTTTTAGAACCACACATCTTTGTAGGGCGTCTGCTTTGTTCAGTCACTCAGGTGTGCCAAGAAAGAAGAACTTGAAAAAAAGAGTAGTTATTGTGTATGTGGTTCCCTCAGCTTCCCCTGAAAGAAGCAGATGGTTGGGGGTCCCGGGAGGTAGAAGAAATGGGGCCATTAGACTGTCAGTGGCTTGTGAAAAGCAGAAACATCTGCCAGAATGGAGACTTGTTCAGCAGCAGGGGAGCCAGCAGCAGCAGATGATCTCTGCCTTGAGCCGTCAGTGGCATAGTCATCCACCTGGGAATTGCTGCTGTGGGCGTAGCACAGGTAACCTTGGTAAAATCTCTGTTTGTCTGCCAGACTTCAAAAAAGGGGCAGTGAAGGCTTCAATGCACATGCACTGGCATCTTAACTACCCACTTTTACTGTCTAATCAGTCCTAAAATCACAAACAATTTTAAAGCATTCCTTACCCATTCTCAGCTGAAAATTTGTCAAAATGCCTGTCATGTTCAGAATGTGATTTTCAGAATAGTGACATGAACCATGCTAGATGCACCAAAGAGTAAGTTCAAAAAACAAATTACCTTTTGGAAAAGTATCAAAAATTTTGCTAGGGGTCTTGTTTTCTGTTGTGTCACACACCATACTCTTTTAAGACATGCCTGTTTAGTGTTAAGAAATATTTTATATAGCTGCACTTCAATCTCAGCTGCTGTACTTCTTATGTCCTTATTGACTGCTCTGCACAGGACACAGTGTTCCAGGGGAGAATGACCTTCTGTTGCAACAGTGTGATGGTACGTAAAAGATGAGATAAAGTGGGGAGGGCAGAATGCCTCTGAGGAGCAAGACTAGAAATTCATATCTACATTCAAAAAGAATAGTCAATTTGGGTTCTCTCCTGTTAGAATAATTAATCCCAGTCAGCCACATCTAAAAACGAGAATAAAGTACGCAGGTACAGAGCTCTGTTTCAGAACTCCTCAAGCTGCACTTTGTGAGTACTTGGCATAGGTGAATCTGGGACTGTTGCCAGTACATAATATCTTTCTAGAGTTGACTTCAGAGCCAGGAAAAGACATTTTCTGTGGATGAAGTTTGGTTTTACTCCCATGGGAGAGTGAATTACATTGCAGTTTGGCTAGTGGTCCGTATATTTCGGTGTGCATTTCAATATTGGTTTAGCCTCTTTTTTTAATCTTTGGTAACTTTCGTTGATGTTCTGATCGGCAATAATAAGCTGCTTGTGTGTCTCTTTCTAGGCTTCAGGGATACTTCCCTTGCATCATAAATACTGCAGTAGTTTGTCGTGCTTAGAATATAGACATGATTTAGTGGGTAGTACTGAAGATCAGGCTCAGGATGCTTTGGCACACCCGTAAAGAGAAGGTGTTACTCAAAACTGCAGTTGTAGATGTCACGAGAACTGACATCTCACAAGCTTTTCTGTTAGTTGCATCTGCTTTGATTTGAAGAGGGCCTCCTGGTTTATGGCTGGAGCTAGTTTTGCTTTCATCTTCATTCAGGCATTTAAATACAAACTATAGTCATCTCTGCAAAGCACAGAATAGTAGGAAGAACAATAACTGTCAGATATTCTCAGAGGGTTTGGAAATACTGTAATCAGCCCCCTGTTTACCATGCTGAGTGAGGAACTTTGCTGTGGCTGTTAGCTTTGGCCGTGTCTGTTCTGCAGATCTCCACTGCAGCGTGCGTGCTGATCAGGGATTGAAGACACGTGGGCCAGGGGCTGTGGCCGTGTTGGCAGATGAGTGTCCCCGTATGGTGGGAATGCCGGGCTCGTGTCCGGTGCCAGGTGCGCTGCTGGCTTGGGCACAGCTGTTCGTGTGCGGTGCAGGTGCAGCTCACTGGTAGTGGCAATAGAGCAGCCTAGTTCAACACCAGCTTTGCCAGCAGCAGCAGTGATTTCAGATCATGTCATCATCCCTGTGTGCAGGCAGGGACCAAAGGCAACTTCTCACAGCCTGAACTCAAGGTGAATTGTACAAATTATACAGGGCCTTATTATGGTGTTTGTTGTATTTAGCAGAATAAATAAAATTCCTGTCTTTTTAAAATGTGACTCAAAAATTATGGTAGTTCCTCTCTTTGTTTTCTGCCAGTAGTTAATTACTTTTTAATTTTTAAATAGTAGCAGTCTCCTAGCTTTTGGTGAATTCTACCACATATGGCTGCATCTTTTTTTAAGGGATGTCAACTTGTCAGAAATCAGCTTTCTTCAGAATCAGATTAGTTAATAAAAATCACTTAGTGTATACATTCAAGAAATAAAATGGCTGTCTGAATGAGATGTGAATTACTTCCTTAGGTCATTTCTTAAGTCATTCAGGATGAAGTAAACGGGTGAGAGACTTTCTTTCTGCTTTCACAATTGTCTGATATTATGGTCGAATACATCATTAACTAGTTGAGTTAATAGGATTTAACTATTGCAAATTGAATGTGGTCATCAGATCAGTCTGAGCTATTTTGACAATTGTATGAGCATCCTTGTTGCACTGCAAGTGCGGGTTTTTTTTTTGGACATGGGCCATTTCTGTGATGATGAGATATTTTCCCACAATGGCATCTTCTGCTCCAGATAAACCCTTTTTGATCACCTGTGAAAAAACTTTGAACTTGGCCATGATCATCTTCAACTGCTTGTGATAATGACAATGATGTAACCAAATTACTTTTATGGTGGTGTCTTCTAAATCTTTATTTGTTATGCTAATTCTCCTTTTAAAGCTGCTGTAGGTTCAAAACCACTCTTTTTCATCCTATTTTAATAGTGATGTCATTGTCAGGTACTGAAACACAGGCCAGTAAAACAGATTTGAGAACTATTCCAAATTGTTTCTGAATGGCTGATCATTTGTATCTCTTGCCTGCGAAACTGAAAAGTTCATAGTTTGAAAGAGCTTATGTTGTTACTTGTTTGAAAGGCCTTTATTTGCATGGTGTAGAAAGATAGAGTTTAACGCGATTCATCAAAAAAATTGTGCTGGAATGTGGTTGATAAAATTCCCAGGAAAATACAGGTATTCAGAAAAATGGCTGCAATCTTCATTACTGTTTTTTGGTTTCCCTTTCAGAAATGTTCCCATTGCCAGGAACCGGGAGCCACCTTAGGCTGCTACAACAAAGGCTGCTCCTTCCGATACCATTACCCATGTGCCATCGATGCAGGTAGGAACACATGGCAACTGTATTCCATAATTACTCAACTCATACTACACTAAATAATTCTGAGGTGCTTTACAAATTACTCCCTCTCAGTTTTTCTCCTACTGTGAAGATAAAGTAATAAAAATGGTGAGAAACGGCATGCAATAAACAGCATACAGTAACACGCTGGGACAAGATGGAGCTTGTAATGAAAAGGAGTCTGCCTGAAAGAGCAGAAGAAGCCTGGCTTGGGGGAGTGCAGCTACAGTGACTGAAATTTGACTGCAGTGTGAGAACTGATCACTCATTTTTTACCAAAAATAGAAACCCTTTGTTAAAAGGATGTAAGTAAGCAGCAAGGGGGTTTCTTCTTTCAGGGTTATACTTCTATGGGTGGTCCTAGTAAAGATTTCCAGTGTTTGTGTTTGTAGAATCATCAGTACCATTTGCAGCACAACCATCCTTCTCCCTCCTAAGAAGCACTTCAGCCAGTCTCCTGAGTAGGTCCAATTTTCATCCTTATACAAGCTAATTATTTGGATGATACTATTTCCAGCTATGAGCCTGGGCTTGTGAGTTTGGTGGGTTTTGTGCAGTAGTGACAGTTTTTCATGGAGATAAACTTTGTTCTTGGGTAAAAAAAATTCAATCTCAGAGTAAATAATACCCCACTTTTCCAGTCCCCTGTAACTCACTTCTGTCATACAAAATTTAGTCTGATAACAAGCAGGAAAGGATTCAAGATTACAACTCTAGACTGGAAAATAATTGCAAGCTTCTTGTTTGTTATTCCAATTCCACAGCAACCCACTTGTTCACCACCCATTTTATGCTGTTTTCCAAGTATTTGAAGTAGGAATGCTCATTTCTGTATGACTGCATTGCACCTCTCACTGTGAAGTCCCACCCTATTGGAGATGTGCATTTTATTCTAATAGGAATGTTATTTTTAAATTAATATTGCAGTGGAATATTCTAGTACCACAGTACTACTAGCAGAGAGAATTCTTGACTTCACATAAAAGAAAGATTATTCAGGTTGCAAAAATCACATACTCAAAAAAATACCAGAAATAAAGGTGTCCATTTAAGTATACTTTTGGTCTTTTATGAATCTGTCTTATAGTAATCACCTAATTAAAGGTTGATATGTCTTTTCATAAGGCCCTACCTCAGCCTGTAGGATGGAGGGTACTCATTCATGAACATATGTTGTCCTTGCTTGATCTGTGTCTTACTGCAGATGATTCCTTCTCAGTTCTGAAGGTAGAACTGGGAGATTTCCTATAATGTTAATCTCTGTCCTGCCTGAGAGTTTCATGAACATTAGTAAACTTGCTTTTGTACAGTGTGTTTGAGACACACAATCACCAATCAGATTCACATTTGTGTTGTGTTTAGTATGTATTTGTTTCTGGTTTGTGACTTGCCCTTTTCAGTACCATGAAAAAACAAAAATCATAGTGAATGGTCCCAATAATTTGAGGGCTTAATTTAAATTCATGTTTTACTAGATACAGTATGTAGCATTTTCTCGGTTGTAAATTGAGATATCAAAATTCAGATACTCTCCTTTTCCTTCAGCTATATTAACTCTACTCCACTTCAGCAAATGTAGGATTCTCCAAAATGAGAAATATACTGAACAATCATGACTGATTCCCAAGAGCAGTTCTGTATCATGCATGGAAGAAGCAGCATCATGTACATAACCCAGTATATAATCATACTATTTAGTCCAATTTAAATGTAACATGTCTGCTATATAATGTGTAGACATGGGTTAGATTAAACTTGGCTTTTTTTCACTTTTGTCTTGACTTTGCAACCTGTGAGATTTTTTTTAGAGTAGCTTTTTGTGTTCAAGTTCCAAGGCTATGCTTACTTCTTTTAATTTTGTTATGAGACATCATGTTGTCATGTGGCCATCTGTTGGAGTGCACAATTCCAAGCTAATTTCCCTCCTTTGAGTAATACAGCGGTAATAAATTGCAAGAGCTTCATGGAGATGGGATACTTGGACTGTGAGGTTTCACAAACATATTTCAAAAATAGTGGAGGAGTTGGTAAAACTGGTGAGTCTCTGGTTTCACTTCAGGAAGAGTACGGTGTAGTGAGAACAAAATACTTCATTGGTGCTTTTAAAATACATTTTCCTATCTGTTTGTTCCTTTTCATCTGTATGTCTGATGTGTTCTCTTTGGCTTCTCATACCAGCCACAGGTCTTTTATCTAGTTGCTCTCAGGCCCCTCTTTACAAATTTCTTACTCCAGTCTCTTTGTAAGACCCAATTCCTCCTAATTCTTTCTGACTTTTCTTTTTTCCAGTTTTCTAGCTCGTACTCTGACTTCCTCCTCTCTGCTCTTACTTCACCTCTTCCTCTCTTTTGTTTTTTCTAGTTCTTTCTCCTCTCTGGGCTTTGTTACTGCCATTTGGTTCTCCTAACTCAGCTCCTTGTCACACCTCACCCTGCTAGTCCTGGTTTGTTCTTGTATGTTGTCCTTTATATTCTCTGTTTCACTTTTCTGTGCCTTTTTCCAATCAGTTCTTTGTCTTAGCCTCCTGCTGGCACTCATCCTTAATTCCGTGCTCCTGACTTCCAGTAGCACTGGTCTCCCTCCTGCTAGCCTCCGTTCTTTCTGTATCTTGGCCGCCTTTCTCAGTACTGTTTTCACTTCTGCCTGCTGGACTAGTGCTTCCCATTTTGCAGTTTTGAAATGGTCACTTTCGTCTTTTGGGTTGCTTGAGTGTTAGAAATGTCCCCTGATAGCTTCACTGCTTTTGGGACTGGTGCCTGAATCTGAGGGCAGAGGTTCATTTATAGGAAGGGCCTGATCACCCCCAAACAGAAGTATATTTGGTGGAATTTTTAAAAGCTACTAGCTAGCTTCTAAAATCTGAAAGGCCGTGCTACTAAAATCTAATAGGCCTCTTCTGAGGATGTGTACATGAAAATCCCCATATTGCTTTTCAAGGAGTTCTGTTTGCTGGTTTTATGGTAGCTGGCAATGGCATGCCTTAGCTAAAGTCCAGGTCCTACTGAAAATCAGGATATTGTTAGAGCTTTTCAGAGAAAAAATCCTGGGATGTTTATCATGGGCGGAATAACTTTTTTCCAAGAAGGAGTTTTAAGGAAATTGTTGGGCTGCTTCTGCTGAAGTTTTCAACCAAAACAATTAAAAAAGCCCCAGCTTGAAGTAGATTCTCAGCATTTAAAATTTCAGCCTGATGGTGTGACAGTAAAAGACCTTGTTTGCAAGGTTGGTTTTATCTGTGGGTGTAATCAAGCTGTCTTAATCTATAGACACTCTTCAATAAATCTGTGTAAAATAACCAAGCTATATGGCATAAGGTCTGGTTTTCATTTATGACCAAGCAGAAAATGTAGGCTTCCTTGAGAAACAAATCAACATTATTTCTCTTTGCTCAGCCTGTAAACCCTTTTTATTGGTTTTGCAGTTCTACTGTCTTTCTGTAGTGAAAGTGTACAGGTGCTTCTCAGCTTCCTTGAGCTCAGTGGTAGTTCCATTTTGAAATCAACCATCCTGCTTTGAAGGATGGTGCCACCTTGCTTTATTTAGGATCTGTCACAGATCTGTTCTGAATCCTCAGAAGTTTGTGTTAACATTTACAAGGGCTTTCAGGCTTTTGGAATATGTATGACTGGTTTTGTATCTCAAAGAAATAAAGCCAAACAGAAAACACTTGCTGGAGTGTTTTTTAGGGTATGTTGAGTCATACACACTTGGTTTGTCTGAATTCCTGGAAGTGACCGTGCCTTGGTTGAGATGAAGTACCCGTGTTGTATTTCGAAGCAGTTCAGTGTGAGCTGAAACGTTTCTGCCTTTGCATCCATGTGGGTTAGGAGTTGGTCCCAGTCAGTTACTGTGCATCATGAAAGGCAGAACGTTTTTGGGAAAGGGCTGGAGGCTGCAGTGTGTCAAATGGCTTCAGTTCCTTGCAGCACTGAAGGCAGCCCTGGGGTGGGACCTGGGCTCTGGCTCTGCACCAGTGGTCAGTGTCCAACCCCACCCTGGTGAGGGGCCAGGCTCTGCCCCACTGTTGCTAATGGAGTGCTGTGCAAGGCATGTGGCTTTGTAAGTTGCCAGTTTGTACATATGGATGCTTTTATATAGCATAATTCAGGCTGTCTTTTAATTTCCTTTCATAGAAAATAGTCTTTGGCAATATAGGGTGTAAGAGAGCTGAACGTTTCTTATCCATTTACATAAAAATCAAGATCAGTAGTCCCACTTAAGTAATTTTTGTATGGAAATGACTGTGGTTAACATTGTCTGTGTTTGGCTTTCATCTGTCCAAATTTATGAAGAGCCTCTGATGTCTCAAGATAACTTAGTCCTAGGGATGTCTCCATGGAAACAAGATCTTTGTTTTCTGAAATTTTATATCCTCTCCCTCTGCTTGTTCCTCCCCACCTGGAATCAGATCCTGATGGTTGCAGCACACTTGTTCCTACAACATATATCCAGCCAGTTCCACTTACAGAAGATTTTTAACTGTAAATTAGGAAAAGATTAACAGGAAAATAAAATGAATTTTCAGAGAACAGAAATCCTGTGTCTTCACAAGTATCATTAAAGATGAGTAACAGGCAGAACACAGAGGGTGAGACAAAAGTATGAAGCTTACAGAAGAATAATTGCTTCTATTAAAAGTGTTTTAGGTTTTCCCTGACTACTTTATGGAGAAAAATCTGTGGAAACAAGGACAAGTCTCAGTTCTTTTTGCTTTCTGCCACAATGAGCTGATCATAGCTCTGTGTCTGCTGACTTCATGACAAATTGTAATCTGTTATATAAAATACTTGGAACTGCTAACCAAGATCCAGGCCAGCTTTGTAATGATGAACAATTTCTGCCTTATTGGTATTCAGCTGATTTTCTGCAGTGTGCTGATGACATTTTTCATAGTTGTCCTTTAAGAGAAACAAAAAAAAATTGCTATTAATTGGATCTGCTATTAGTATTTGCAACAAAAATGCTGACCTTAGTAAGAAATGGAGCTCCACACACAGATCAGGCATTAGGTACAAGGTTTCTGGCACTTCTTCCTGATCCTTGTAGAATCTTCCTTTCTGATATACTAGCTAAAGAACTGCATTCATTACCAATGTTGGGTTTCCAACAAAGAAGAAAACTCCATTCTGTTCTAACATACTGTGTATGTTTTTGATGATTGCTCTGTATATTTTTGATGATTGCTGTATTATGCAGTGATAATTCATGCTGTAGTCTAAATGTATGATTCCTGCCCTTATAATGAGAAGACATTTTATTTATTTCCTGTGATTTGCTAATGCTGCATTTGAAATTATCTGTGGCAGGATTAAGGGTTTTACTCCCCTTTGCTAAAATCTCTCAAGTAACTTAGCCTCTTGCATGCTGTTTCCCTTTGATTCAGGCCAGAGGCATTCATGTTAAAACATTAAGCAATCCCTAGCAGAGGGATGCTCTGCCAAAGCTTGGGTATCTAGAAAGCTTTTCCCTCAAGCTTTAGTTCCAGTCTCCTGCTGTCTGCTAAACTCTTCCAGCAGATCGAAACAGCAGGTAGCACTGGTTATGCTACATACTTAAGAGCGTTTTAAATTAGCCCATCTTAGTTACCATTGCACTTCTCTACTTGTGAGCTCTTGGGCGTGTTGGAGTAGGCAGGAGGTCAGAAGCACCTTGCTCAATTCTCCAGGGCAGCATTGCTCGCTCGTGCTGAGGTGGGGATGGGTGCTTGGTCCTGCCCATGAGGTGACAGCCTCGGGTCAGCCTCCAAGGCAAGAGGCCACTGGAACCGAGCAGTGTCAGGCGTTTGGGCAGGTTGAGTGGTGACCCTGCAATTCAGGGTGCCCAGGGGAGGCAGCTGAGTGCGCTGAGGGGAGTGCTGCTTTTCCTGTGGCTGAAGCTCTGAGAGCTGCCGACTTGCAGAGTCTGGGAGGGGGGATGTGAGGAGAAGCAATCCATACTCTGACAGTGCTGCTAAATAAGTGCTCTGCAAATGGCAGTATTGCTTAATTTGTTCCTAAATAAGCAGTTCCATATAGGTGCCTCACTTTACATAATATGTTTAAATAATTACCTGAATCATTTTTTAGATCATAAAAGCTTCACATATAAGATTCATGAAAGCAGATCTAAAAGCAGCATGAGTGACCAGACTACCAGACATAGTGTCACAGTATAAACTTACCACCAGGACTTGTGATTGCAAGTAAACTGTAAACACCATACCTAGAGACACACACCCCTGCTCTCCCTGATGCTGGCAGGGCCTTGGGGTAAGGGTGAAAGGCAGCATTTGTACTATGGAATGCAGGGATTGTCTGTTCAGATTGGATGAATGTGTCCATCTTCTGTGTGCTAAAGCAAAGAAGGCTGGAATAGCTGAAGGGGGTTGGGATGCAGGATTTGTAGGCTTGCTGTTGTCATTCTTACTACATACAGATCATTGGGAAAACTGAGGTTGCTTGGTAATCCAAGCAACATTGTCACTTGGGGTGTTCAGTTACTTTGTTTGCTAAAACTTTGGGGCTGGAAGGAGTGAACCTGCTAATAATACACAGATCAGGCATTAGGCAATGAACCTACTAATAATACACAGATCAGGCAATACTGACAAAGTATTCCTATAAGAGATCTTTGAATGAAAAATGTGTACCTGTGAGGCAAGATTAACACATGTGATGTATTATTCAAGTTGGTTTTCATTAAAAAAAATAATGCATTGCTGTCTTCTCCTCCTTTAGATTGTTTACTAAACGAAGAGAATTTCTCAGTGAGGTGCCCCAAGCACAAGGTAAGAATCCTCTCCTGGATTATACCTGGGTCTCTTGTTGCCCTCTTCTGGTTTCTAAATTTGGATTAGTAATTTTATTACCTGGATAATGTCTGTAGTCAGAGATGCTTTTAGTTCAATTATTCTGTGATATATGCTTGTGGTATATTCTGGGGGCAAACATCAACTCAAGAAGACTACAAGTTTAAGAAGATAAAATTTTTGTTCCATCTGCTCAGTGTTTCTTTAGGTCCTTGATGACTGTTCAGAAAGCTCAGCTTCATTTCCTGAATTCTGTGATATAATCAGTATGTTGCTTGCTATTCCTGTTTGAATGTTTCATTGGACTGTTGGGTTTTCTCCTTGGATTTACTGAGGATGCAAGAAGGAAGAAAAATGACTTTATGAAAAAGTTCTCCTGGTTTTTGGAGACATCTTGTTCAAGTTTACCAGTAGTAACTGGACTGAGTCCAGCCACTCAGCCTTCAGTGGGTCTGTGGGGTTCTTCTGTACATCTTTGGTTCATCAGAAGATCCCTTTGCTCCTTCTGCCCAGGGTCTGGGTGTCCTTAATGATTGTCCCCAGAGCCTACAAGCACAGTGGTGCAGAGAGCTGTCTGTATGGCAAGAGGGGACAAGGGAGACAATACGTACTCTCTTGTAGCATAAGTAATGGGATACAGTGCTGGAAATACCCTCCCAGCCCTTAAGGGAGGATACATCCCTGGGAGGTTGTGGATACCAGTCTTCCAGTTTTAAATGGTCAGAGAGTATCCAGAAAAAAAAACAGCTGTTCTTGTTGCCAGTTGAATACAATAGTAATTGGGCAAGAGTTTGGATGGCTTGTGCTGAAAAGGAAATGATAATAGGGAAGAATTGTGTTGCTTTTGAGCAGGGATTAGTCTCCATCTAGTTCTTGTCTGCAGATCCCTGCCTTGAATTAGACTGACATCTGGTGGTCTTTTGTTTTCACGGCTTATTCTTAATCTGTCTTTTGTAAACATACAGGAATTAGCCTCATGTTCCTTTCTGGATGTTCCACCACAAAATGATGTATTTATACACACGTATTTAAAATGTGCTGGAAGATTCAGTGCACATTCAGGCTCTTATCCAGAATTGGCCTACTTTTCATTATATAAAAGAAAATAAATTATTCTGCACAACTGTGCAATAATGTTGACAATGTACAGCAAGCTTAAATTAATGCATTAATGCTACAAGAACCTGCAGATCTTGCCAACAAACCCGGAAAGATGAGCTTCCCCTTTCTGTGTAATGTAACTGCCTAAGTGCCACCCTCTGCCCGACTTTGGATACTTGGCTAAAGATAATTGGGTATGTCCTGGGTTTGGATGGGATAGTTATTTTCTTCTTGGTACTTAGTTGCCAGCTGGGGTTAAACTATTACAGAGAGTTGTGTATTTGAAGGCTGTTTTATTTTTGCTGCCTGTTGCCTGAAGTATTCCAGGGAAATACAGTTTTACATAGATGGCTTGAGTCACTGCTGCTGTATGGGAGCACTTTGGAGTGATGGTGCTCAAACCATGAAAGGAAAGAACTGGTTTAGATTCAGGCAAAGAATCCGCTTTTCAGAGAAAATTCTGAGAAAGCACATGGATTTCTAAAGTAATCTTGAAGGATGGGAGTGGGACAGCTACCAATTAAGTTCTTAACAGTTCTTCATGAGGCAATAAAATTTTTAATTCTATTCAGAACTATCCCACTGCGGATCACTTTCTTTATTTTGTCAAAAACATAACTTCAACACCAGCAGCCTTTGTTTGACACTGAAGTTTGTTGGCTTTTGCTTAGTAAAGACAAAAATAATTTATTTGAAGCCAAGTAGAGTTTTCTTTGCTTTCTTTCTCTGCCCTCACTGCGTATTTCACTAATCATTATTGGTTTGTTCCCAATCTTTCTGTAGTGCAGAATATAAGCTTACTCTGTTCCTTCCATTCCAGTGGCTGGAAAGGGGAATTCCAGACAGTGACAATGCAGGAACAGGAAGGCTGAAAACCATTGCTCTAGAATGACTGGGGAACAAATTGCATCAATTTTTTTGCATTATACAAGTATGAGCAATTGAGAGGAAGAAAGACTTTCAATTAGTTTGTTGAATGCGATGCTTTTAGGTAACACCACCTTAGCCCTGTTAGCAAATTAGTAACTGTCTCATAGCTCACTCTGCTGTGCTGTAGCTAATAGGTGGAGGAGCTAACTTTATAAATCTCCAGCATTGAGTCCCCCAGTACAGGGCTGTTACCCTTTGGCAGTCTGTGCCTCACACCGGTAAATACACTTCATCACAGAAAGCGGCTCCTGGAGAGCAAAGGTGCTTCTTACCTCATTAACTGTGCTTGACTCTTAGGGCATAAGCAAGCTGAGTCCAGAGGGAACTGGTCCTGCCTTTCCATGTGCTCCCCAGTGAGCTTTTCCATTTCCTTCTGTCAGGATTGATGTTTCAACCATCCATGTCCTGAATGTGCTACTTATGCAAAATATCAGCTTTTATCCCAGCGAAAATGCTGTCTGAAAACTGTCATCTTTTGAAGGGTTCCTCTCACAGATCCAAACGGCTCTGTCTGCATCACAGCAAGTGAGGTTGCAACAGACCTGATGAGGATGCTGAGCTGTAGAGAGGCTATAAAAGGGGTGGGATACCTCACCTTTTGGTGGCTCAGCCATCATAGATTGTCTTAAGCCATCTGTTTGGGCAATTTTCAAGTGATGCTCCTCAGCTTGTTCTACCTTTTTGTGTTAAATTCTGTGTTTCTTAAAATTAACCAGGCTTTCATATCTCAGACTCTACTTTTGTGGAATTACTTGCTTTTGTCTTGGAGAAAACTCTGTCTGAAAAGTCTATTTCTGACTCCAATACTGACTTCTCTTTCTCTCTCTCTCTCTCTCTCTTGCTTTCTGTATGTTCCCTTTCCCTACCCCTGTCTTCTGTTTCTCCCTCGTTTTCTTTTTCCTTCTCTGTTTGGCTTGCTGGTTTGTCAGCCCCTCCTTCCTTGCTCTTTTCCCTCCTTGCAGAACAAGATGGTGAAAGGCAGCCTCAGCACAGAGCAGTCGGAGCGGGGGTGAGGGGGGAAGTGTACTCCTGGGAATGGATATAAAAGCAAGCACAGGTGAGTGGGGAAGAGCTTCCAGTTCCACCTGCTGTCTTACATCCAGTGCCTTCCCCATTTCTGTGAGAAATTAAGGTGCTTTTATATATATTCAGAAAGTTTGTCATATTTTTTTCTCTGCTACCATCCTGTTTATTTTTTTGTGTTTCTGCAGCAGTTCCTTCTGTTAAACAATGAAAGGCAAAGCTTATTAGCTGTTACAACTGCCTGATTACTCTCTCAGCTAAATGAGTCGCAGAAATCTCCTTTTGTATCATGTCCATAAGGCTTTGAAGGTGTTTTTCTGCAAGTCTCAGAGTAGTTAGTAAGCGTCTGTATAAATAAAGTCATCAAAGTATCTTAAATTCTATATGTAAGAAATAAATAATATTGATGAGTTCAGGATTATTGTAGGATTCCCATTTTCTGGAAATGTAGATAGATCCAGGGATAAGTAAATCAGTCTTAGCAGGTGTTTCTTTTGGCCCAGCTTTTTTCTCTATTTTGCAAACAGACATGGGGCATAGAAGGTAGAACTGTATCCAGAAGTGGTCACAATTCCATAACTTTGTAATGTGCCCCAAGTTCCTCACTGCAGTTCCTTCCTGCCTCCTCCTTTGTCTAGGCCCAGCGTTCATACAGCCAAGTGAGAACTTGGTTGGGAATTCAGTTTGTCTGAAACAGCTTTTTGCCATGTTAGCATCAGAGCTGGGTCATTTTCCTAATCTGGTTCACTGTGTGGCTGGGAAAATACACTGGCACAAGGAGGGAGTAGCACTGAGGTGGGAGTTAGCACCCAGGGAATGGGATGAGCTTCGGATTTCTTATTTCTTACTCAATTGCAAGTGCACTGCAGTTCAAAGGCAACGGGGTCGATTAAAATGAAATAAGTGTTTGGTTTCAAGTTAATACTTGTCATCCTGTCCATGAAACTGCAGCCCAAGAAGGTCTCTTGCCTTCATTTCACTACTGAAATGCATTTCTTACTCAAGCTATTTGCTTCTCTGTCTTTTTTCTTGCAATCATGCAGAGGAAGTTGCTGTTTTGTGTCAGTTCTTGGAACTGCTGATGGTAATTCTCTTCCTTCGTTACCATTCCCTTGCTTCCCAGGCACCTCTCCTGACTTAAAATCTTTCCTGTTTTTCAAGTAAAGTAATTGTGAAGTACTTCTAATGGTGTTCTGTGTGAAGGATGAGAGATTAATTGGAAGATTGTGGGGTTTTGGTGCAGTAGCACAAGACAGGTAGTGTCCCATATAAACACTTTTTGCAGATTGACTGCTGACTTGCTTTAGCTCAGCTGTGTTCTGTGACTTTCCATTTTTAATAGCATTTATTCCTGGCTATGGAGCGTTGTTTTAACAGTTACCATGTAAACAGTGTTTAACAGTATTCAGTGTTTGAGTAGCTTTCTCCTTCCATGGTAAAGGTCATTGGGATTCCTTTAAGCTTTTCTTTTTTCCTTAAAATGTAACAGGCAATGTAATTCATAATGTTAAAGCAGGACAAGAGTCCCACAGCCAAAGTGCCTCTTGTGGCTGTTTAACACTAGGGAATTGATTTTTGGGCCATTCCTTTAAGGTGCTGGTGAACATTACTGTGTCCCAGAGACCTTTACACAGCTTTGTTCCCTGCATTATTTTCCAGTGCTAGCTCTTTTTTTATATATCATAGGACTGTCTTAAGACCTTGCAGGCTGTGGAATCTCTGCACTGTATTCACTGTATGCTCTAGATATCTCTCTAAGGCATCATGTCTTTTGAAATCCACTTTTTGCCTCAAGTAATTCTTACCAGAAGGTCCTATTTAGCCACCCCCTTTCAATGTTCAGAATATCTTAAAAATTAGATTCTCAAATTCCAACCTGATCTTGCATTTCAAAATAAAAGCCATGCAAATCTAAAAGGTCCTTATAATAACAACAACAACAACAAAAACTTGTTGTATTACTGTGGTAATTAAAGAACTTGAGGGGAATTCTGTAGCGGCCGAAGTAGTACTGGAACTGTCCTTTTGCTGGCCTTAGTGTAAGATACAATGGGTACTCAGTTGTGAGATTATTGGGCTGTTTTAGTCCTGGTTCACTCCCAGGCCTAGCAAGTTAAGAAAAATCCTGTGTGTTGGATAACATCCAGGCAAGTCAGTGTATTCTGTCTTCATTGCTTCTCTCTCCCTGAGCCAGTTGCCTCTAGAACATTTGGATCAAGTCCAGATCTGGAGAGTGACTGTGAGAGCAAGTCTGGTGCTCTGGATCTTGTCCAGGAATGAGGCAGGACTCTCTGTGAGTTGAGCCTGTTTCTTCCCTGAGCCAGTGCCTAATGCTCTGGACCAATTCCAGGCATGGGCAAGCTGCAGTTGTACAGGAGCCAGAGACAGCAACACGGCCCTGACACTCCCTCAGCGAGGGCTCGCCGTTGCGCGGTAATGAAACCACAGAGGGCAGCTGAGCTCTCTGGGAACCTCCCCCTTTCCTCCTCAGCTGCTGCTCCCTGGCCTTGCCCGTCTGCATTTTGTGTGTGCTTGCCTGACTCTTCACTCACTCGCAGCCTGGCACCTGGGTGGGGGATATCTGCAGCCAAGAGTTGGGCTTGCTGGGATGTAATCTAATTGGTGTGCCGATGATCAAAGCAGTATTGACTTCTCCATCTCACTTAGTTAGGGTTCCTGGAGTTTAATTGCCAGCTATGAACAAACATGGGTGTTACTTTGCTCCCAGGCACACCTCTAATTCCGTTAGCTGCTTTCCATATGCATCACTTCTGGTGTAAGTTCTTTTCCCAAGCTCACTAGCTGGTAGGAGGGGATTTATCTAAATCATATCTAACCTTACTAAATAAATAAATTGCTGTTGGGCTCACTTGTGGTATGGGATAAGGGAAGGAAGGAATACATTATTTCAAGCTTTGCTTTCTCTCTATGCAGAATAAGAATGAGAACCCTAACTTAGAGAAATTAAATTATAACTTTGTAACTTCTCTTTTGAGCTGAGCCTCCACCAACTTAGCAAACTCCTGAAGTTCATTTTCTCACCTCGGAGAATTTCTGGACAGGGAGAACATGTGCCAAGCACTTGGACGTTTCCACATTTGTCTTGAAAGACATCACAAGCTTAGTCCTTCTATGAACTGTCTCTGTAATATGAAAATTAGATCCAAAAAGCAGCAGAAAGAAATATCACCTGCCCTTCGATTAGTTAAACCACACACAGCTTTACCTTTAGCTGGTGAAATCTGGCAATTTCCCAGGATTGGTTCCTGGACTCCTGTAATTTTGACACTAGTTGCACTATCTGCTATATATTCACTGGAAACCACCACTGGATGGCCCATAGGGAAACATTTGGATGCAGTCCTTGATGGCATCCCAGGAGCTGTCACCATGTTGGGACATGCTTGGCCCCTGTCTTTCCCAAACTCACGGTCAGTGTGAGGAGCGGACATGAGGTGAGTGAGCTCCTGCCTGGCTGCTGAAGGTAGAGGTGAGTGCTGTGCCATTGTGGTATGGATCATCCTGTCATCCCAGACCTCCTTCAGAACTGGACTTGCTTAATTTTTTTTTGCTGGTTGTTAAATGAAGAGTTTTTATCACATGGATTAGCTTTCATGAACTACTCGCCATTGTGTATATCTGTTTTCAGTCCACAAAGCTAAAGAGCTCTTGGTGTTGCTGCTGTGGTAGGCTACTGAGTGGGTTTTTCCAAAGCCTGAGGGGCCTGTTTGCAAATGGAGGGAAGGAACCATTCCAATATTATTTTGACTTTGTTTTTCAGGTTAGGCTGTTGAGATAAAAAGCGGTGGACATTCGTGACTGAATGGAATCTCTCCCACTGTGCAGCCATGCCCCCTCTCGACGTGCCTGCCAATGCCAGCACTTCCTTCATAAATTCTTACATCACACTCAAGACTGATGACATCACAGAATCTGACCAAGGAGTCTGAACCAGCTGTTTCCATGGACACAATCTCCATAGTGACAGTGGGGAGGGGAGGGGGAAAAAGGAAACAGGTGGGGGGAATTACAGAGGGAGGGATAAATATATATATATATAAAGATCTATTTTTTAGTCCTGAAAGACTTTGTTTTAAATGAAAGGTGCGCTATATCCCTTTTGATGCTTTTGATTAAGATTTTAAAAACCCCATATAAATTAAAAAAGAAACTTATAGCTAAAGTAAATATTAAATCCAAAATTAAAGCAAGGCATGTGGAGCCTAACATTTTGTGGGAAAGAATAGCAAAACTGGGAGTACTCCAAACAGGACTTGTCTCTGTTCCTCTTGCTTTCTTTCTCACAACATCTGATGAAATTCAATTTTGAAAGGCAAATAAAATACTGATAAATTGTTTATAGGGTGTGGGAGGAAGGCTTGGATGATTGCAGGTAATTTGGTGTCAATAGTTGTGTCTGAGGGGTAGGGAGGTTTCCATTTTTGAGAAACACTATTAACAATGTAAGCTTGAATAACATCTGCGGACTCTTGGGTTGTGAGACTCATGAAGTAAGAGGTGGCTGCTGCTTGCTAGGTCCCATACACCTCACTGGTGTGGAACACCTGTACCACACAGGGGAAGGGAGTATCTGGTATCTGCCCTGTGTGCCACAACGTGACCCCCAGATCATTCCAAGAAGCTGCCTTCAGTTTGGAAGGCAGGTGAGAGGAAGACATGGTTTACCTGCCAGATTGGGGAATGAAAGGAAGTCTGAATGTTGGTGGAGTCAATGTATCTTCAAATTGATTGGGGTAAATCCACTTGGCCCTCTTTTTATTTTTATATTTTTTGCTTTTCCTAAGGAAGGAAGAGGGAATGTTAGTGTAACAGCCTACACTATATGGTTATTTGGGGTAGGGTTATTTTCTTTTTTTTTCCTTTTTTATTTTCTTTTTTTTCTTTTTTTCTTTTTTTTTTTTTGTAAATTATGTAATTTTAAAACATTTGGGTTTTAGGAACAACAACAAAAAAATCATGGTTTTTTTTTCTTGTTAAGGCCTTAAGAAAGGGGTTAGTGCATCTTTCAGGGGTCACTCTGCCATGGGAATAAAAATAGCTGTTTCACAAACAGTTTTATATAAAAAAAGCTTAAAAAAACCAAAAAAACTAATAAACTTCATTTTAACCTTGTCTCCTTTTGTTTTGTGCGAACTTGATTTGTTTAAAAGGACAGAGACAGTACTATCTGCTGCTTTTTGGTTTCTTTGCCTTCATCGGTTCTGCCTTCAGTGATGACCTTCTGAACTGGCCCAGCAAGAGGAAGACCACAAAGGCTTTGAAAAACTAAAGCTTAGGATTTGTTTGATGTTCAGAGTTAACAAGCCAATGACTGGATGAATTTTCTGTTCGTGTGAGCTGGTGGTATTTCACCAGGTCACTGACTTCTTTCACTCATAGGATGGTAGCATATCCTAGCGATATCAAACAGCGTGTTGTTTACTGGAAAGTCACTAGAGATAGGGATCTAACCAGCATGACATGGATAAAAAAATGGGGTTGATATTGTGGGGAGGGAAGAACTATTTTAAAAGTTATGTACTGGATGCTTGCTCAACTACTCACATTTTGGAGTATTCAGCACATAAAAATAAAATCTATGATAGCTCATATTAAGATATCTATTTTAACTCTATTTTTAAAAGATCGATTTAAAGATTTGGGAGATAATTTGGCAGTTATTTATTTCTATAAGTTGCTACTCTCACTCATAAATATTTGGAAAGAAAAGGCAGCCTTCTGCTTATTCCTTTCCCAGTAGCAGCTACTGAAGTTAGTATGTCCTTTACATTAAGAAATAGACCTGTTGTGATAAATGTCACTAATGTGTCATGAATTGGTGCTGAAAATATTTAACTGCTGGTGTAGTCAGAAAAAAGTCATTTTTAGCATAGTTAATGTGATTGAGTAAATGACTTCTTTTCAACTGAATAAAAATTGGTTTTTTTTTTTCATAGTGTCTGTTCTATTCTACATACTCAAAAAAAAAGTTCCTGTTATTGCATTGATTTTATGTTGGTGAAGAGTCAACTCTGTATGTAGCACTGTGACAGCAGAACAGTGTGTGCTGGAACTGCTGAATTTGACACTTTCACTTTGGCTCCTCAGGGTGGTGTCACAGCAGAGGCAGAAGGTTTTCAGGTAGCTGGGAGGGAGCCTTGAAAGTTTTCCATGTGGGAGCTTGTGGCAAGTATGGAGATTCAGTATTTCCTCGTGCACCGTGGCTGGAAAGTAGCGGCAGTTGTGTAGAGCAAATAAAGAAATGGTACTACAGTCAGTTCTGTGGGAAGTATTTCACAGTGCTTCAAATCCTTTGACTTAGCTGTGGCTTAATCTCCCCAGTGCTGTAGTCAGAGGTGAGGGGTGCTCTCCAGTAGAGCAGGATTGTGCTTGGTGGTTGAGGCTTTACAGAAAGCAGAGCTGTCGTGATTCTAAAACCGAGCCAGGAGGAATTGAAACAATGTGTAATGGCTTCCTGGGAGAACTTGGAAATTATCCAGAAGAGTCATAAAATCCTGTTGGAAATAAAAATTTATTTTGGCTGAGAAAATACAAAGTCCTGAGTGGATTTTGAAAGCTGTTGTACAAAACATTTACCTGCTCCATCCTGCAAAAGCAGTTAAAAGCTCGACATCGTGGATACCCCAAACTGGAAAGACAGAAAAGTTTTGGAAGTCTTGGCTAATTTAGAATTTGTGGAGCAGAAATGACCTGCAGCAGAACCTTAAAAGAGATTGTGTATAGATGAGAATGGCATCGTTTGGGAATTGCCTGCTTGGATGAGGAATGAACTAAGGAGAGCTTGGATAAAGCAGCTCATTTTCAAAGTGCTTCTCTGTGCTGACTCCCATCAGGATCTCTTTCAAGAGACTTACACCCAGAGGCTGGAATTGAATGTGATGGTTTAGCAGCGCTTCCAAGCTAACCAGAGTGAGTCAGCACTGCTGCATGGGGTCAAAGAAAAGATGTTTTCACGTCAAGAACAGGGAATGGATTCAACATGCAAAGGATGTTTGTTGATATGACAAGGATAAAGGGAGTCCTGCCGGAGCTGGTGGAAGCCCTGGGATGTGTACAGAGCAGATCTTGATACCAGGAGCTGCCCATCGATACATTTGTTGTTTGTATGTATTGCATGTGAAATCCATGCTTGGAAATCCGAGGCACAGGCCACTGTGGATCGTGCAGCACGGGAGAAAGCCACCTCAGCTGCTCCTGCAGAGGGCAGTGGCCAACCTCACTAATCTGTACCACAGAGGTATGAGAGGGAGTTTCACTTGGGGTTGTGACATTCTTGAACCTTAGAACAAGACAAACTGATGATGTTCAATAGTATTGAAATAAAAAACATTCAGGGGTTCAGGGTATAGGATCTGCTGAAGAATAGTGCAGATCTAGTTCATGGAGTCCAGCTAATGGCAAGCTAAAGAAATCCATTTTTGGTGGGACATGCATGTAAAATGCAAAAAGTTTGTTGAGATATGGGCAATTGAATGACAGCTCTGGAATTCTGACTATTTAATGTGCAGTAATGTACATTAAAATGTGTATTAGGAAAGATAATACCTTAAACTGGCACAGTTACAGGGGGAACATTTGGGGGCTGATTTGGATATAAACTTTATAAATTATCATGCCTATTAGCTGAGTCATTATGTAAGGAATTACCTGTGCTGTCCCAAGTGCAGTGGGTGTCCTGGATGTTACAGAAATACTTGGTAGAGGGATACAGCATTGGTCTGTCTATCTAGTCCCTGGCTTGCCAGAATGACTGAAAGAAGCAGTCCTTTATCTCAAAATGTAAAAAATTAAGTGTAAATATCATACTTTTGGAAGTGGAACAGGATATTTAGATGGTTGAGGATGAATAATTCACCACTGCTCTGGAATTTTTAAAATATTATTAAAAATTATGAAAACAAACAGAATACAGGTAATCCAGGTTCAGTTACAGATCTAGAAAACACAAAGATATGGTTTTACTGACTTTGCTATGAGATGCTGAAAGAGTAGTTGCAATCTTGGCTTTGGGTTAGAAATCCCTGTTGTGAAACAGGATAAGATTCTTGTCTCACTGTGAAATTCCAACAAACAAGTTTAGGTTTGGGTTTAGTCTTTCATTTCAGGTTTTTTAAGATGGAACTCTGGCAGCATATTACAAGTCAGAGAATTTAGTCAACAAAGGTAGAGGACAAAAGTAATTAATTATTAGAAAATTGTGGGAGACTGGTAACAGTCTGGTACTTTCTCCTGGCATTGCTACAGGCCAGCGAGAGCTTGGCTAATGCACACCACTGAAAAATTGGCTCCATACAAATACCATGCACCATGAGCTCCCTACCTGACCTGTGCTATTCAGCCAGAAATTAATATGTAAAGCCCTGAAGGAGATTATGAGGTTTTTCCTTAGAGTGCAAAGGTCAGTGAAATAGCTGCTGGCATGATCCCTACATGTGATTGTTTCATTGTTTGTTCTCTCTGTACTTCTGGTGGAATTCAAAAGGTTTACTCTGTCATCCAGCTGGAAAGTGAAGAGAGTGCTGCTTACAGAATCTTTTTGTAGGATTTAATTTCTTAAGTGGATCCCACTTCCTGTTTAGTGTGTTTAACCTGAACTGGAAGGAAAGCATCACTTGTTTGCTGGCTTCTTCCACAGGGCAGTACTTAGAGCTGAGATTGCTTCTCTTCCCCCTTCATCCTCCAGAGGTTTCTTGCAATTTATTGCTTAATTCAGTTTTAACGCTGCGGTTTCAAGGTTTTGACCTTACCTGGCCAGCTTTTGAAATGCTGATATTTCTTAGCAGCCCAGAGAGACTTAACTCCCATCCAAATAATTTGAAAAAGAAAAATAGTCTCCTAGCTCATAGCAAACCCCCTGTGAAAGAAATGTTCCACTCTAGCTGGGCTTCAGGAGTCATCCTGATGTGTTCTTCTCTGCATGATAAAAACTGCTTGCATGTGCTACTGAACATGAGCATAGCCAGGTTACCTGCAAATACCACCTGTATTGCATTAG